CTAGCTGGCGGGTGAGTCTGATAGAGGCTATATGCCGCCGCCGCATGGCGAGTAGGAACGGAAAGTCTGCAGCATTAGGCTGCGGTGTAGGGTAGAGGCGCAGATGCAAGTCACCGAGGCGACTCTTCACCCAGTGGCGGACCAGCAGAGGTGCATTACTCGTGATCAGCTCGTTCAGGACACGCGAAGTTTGTCTTAATGAGAGTATATCTGCGACGCATAATTCGCGCAAGATATGGAGATGAAGCTCATGTGGCAGGCGAAACAGAGCATCAAGGAACGGGCTGCGTCATCGTTAGCTTGCCGTTCTGCTCAGTTTCAATGCGAAGGGGCCCACTCGGTACCTGGACGATTTGACAGCCAAAGCCGCGCGCAATTCTCTCTTCCTCACGACGCCAAATGAGGCAACCAGCCGGCTCTGGAAGCTCTCGGCCACCTTGCCCAGTCTCGGTCTCTTCTTCGAAATGCCCTTGCCTCCGGCAGGCGTAGCCGTCCAACTACTTCTCGACCGCTCCGATGTCGTGCTGCTCCGACTGATGAAGCCCTCCATAGCCCACCACGGAAGACGCGTCTCTCACCCCTGCCGATGATCACTGTACGGAGCAGTTTCCTCGAATTCGTTCCAGAAACAGGGGGAGGGAACGGGCTAATTTTCTCTAGCGCTGCGCGTCGCGTAACCTCGCCTGCGACTCCAGATTCATGGTTGATGATGCGCAATGGATTGGGCCGCGAAAGGGTTTGCGGGAAAGAGTTTGTAACACGTGGGAAGGGCGGGGGGGTGGTTGTGTGTGAAATGAGTAGATTTGCGGTTGGGCACTTGCGCATAATGATGGGGGGATTCATCGGTGAACTAAACACGGCGACAGGCAGGGCATGGGTCGGGAGTTGGTACTAGCTCACCCACGCTGCACGCAACGCCATGCCCGCCGGGCCACGAGGGCACTCGCAATCTGAAACGCCAACCTATGCCGGTTCGAGCTTAAAATAGTGCGACTCGGGGTGGCTGCAACCATGGGCTGTTGGAGGGCTTCTTAATATCCATGAGAAGAATAAGCGGAACGATGATTGGTGCGGAAATACAGGCTTTGTTCGCAAATGAGCCATGCGAAAGGATACTGAGCAGTGCGCGTGGACACACAGACTCGACACGGTTGTTTGTGCTGTGGAGCAAGGCTGCTTATCGATGCGAGCATCGCGTGGCGACATGCATGAGTGCGCAATATTAGCCGATGCGTGAACAGTGCGAGAATGCTTTGACAGTTGACGTATCCGAGTAATAAACGTCCAGAACCCCGATCGAGCATTTGCACATTCCTGGAGATAACGAAAACGGGGACTTGTTTTCTTGTGACACTACGAGGAATCTCCGGTGACCCAATAGGTACACAGTTCATCATCTAGTCGCTGAAAGATCGGAGTAGTGATGCACGACGCATGACAACGAAGCGAGACTCGATGTTGATCAGAACCGTCAAGCAAGATGTTCCCATACTCGGGAGCTCTCTGGTCAAGCAAATTATGTAATTCAAACGTTATCAATCTGATCAAGCAGTCTTCTCACAGCTTAGCCTTGACTCCCGTCTCCGCCAAATTCGAGCCACCGAATCTATACTCTACCTTCTCAAACCCATCCGCAGCGAAAATGTACAACCACTTCACTTCCTCGCTCCCCACACACCTCATGCCATGCTCTGCATCCCCTGGAATGAACACCACACCGCCTTCCTGCACCTCATACTCTTCCCCCTCAACTGTGACCACGCCCCGCCCCGCGACAACATAGTAAACCTCAGCATGCGTATGCCGATGCATCTTCAATCCCACTCCGCCTTCCCCCCTCCCTTGCGGCCTACAACTCGCAATCCCAACCGTAAATGTGTCTGTACTTGTCCCAGGCTGCGAAATGAGCGTCTTCCAACTCACATCCCCGCCCACACTAGCATCGGGGAAGCGCTCGGCCACGCGGTTGGCTATGGTCAATGCGTCAAGTATGGTGGGTACGGTAACACTGCTTTTCGCAGCCTTTGTGCTACCCATGGCTTTTTGAAGATTCTGATTTGTGTTACACGCGATGCGATGTGATGGGGGAATGTTGTGCAATGTGACGGGAGCAAGGGAGTGCATGGGCCGGCGGCGGGGGACGGGCGGAAGGTGTTTCTTGTACACTGCAGGGAACGGGAGAAATTAGATTCGTGGCCATGATGTTGTGTTTGCATCACTATTTTGCAGCGTATATCGTAGCGCTTCAAGATAGTCGCGTGGAGTCGTGGTGGGGAGGAGGGGTAGATCCGTTGAGGTAGGGATCCGAGAACTTATTCGGGACTAAGGACACCATTGTAGCGTGTATAGCGCTTGGGAGCTAGAATCTAGATCATGGCAAGGTGGTGTAGGGAAAACATGGGCGAGTGGATTGATCTGCAGCTAGGTGGTGTGGTGACAGCTGTCTGACAGGTGGGACAGCATACGCGTTGCGCGGGACTTCGTTGTGTTGGCGTGCGGGATGCACCGCAGGACAATCGAGATGTGTGATACACGGCAGGGTGGGAAGCTAGGGTTGGGGATAGACTTTCCGAGTATGCAAGGCTCCGTAAGCTGTTACTCTGTTTGGAACATTAAGAATATTGGAAGATATGATGCACGAAGGAGAGCGCATGTGTATCTATTGACTCATGCAATGTCGACTACAATCTTCCCTCGAACCCTACCCTCTACCATGTAGCCTTTTACCTTTTCCCATGCCTCTTGATATCCTTGCTCGCTGAGGATGCCTTTGACCACGTCCTGTACTATGACCTTGAATTTGCCTTCATCAGCCATAGTCGCTACCTGTTCTAACAGCTCACTTCTCTGATACAGGATAACGTTTGCATATCGAGGGCCAAGGATGTAACCACGTATATGCCGGAGCACTTGTGATGGGTACGTGAAGTATGTTGCAGGCCCTCCCATCGCAACGCGCGAAGTTTTATCACCAACTATCGTGATATATCCGCCAGATGGATGAAGTAATTCCGTCTTATATAATGTCAGTATAGTACAGCACACCATAAAATCTGACAAACTCACCCAGTGGTCAAACATTTCCGTACCTCCTACACAATCAATGTATAGGTCATACTTCTTCCCTCCGGGTCGTCCGTCGAGCAGTGTCTTCGCAACATCCTGCTTCCCATAATCGATGACCTCATCCGCACCCAGCCCTTTCACGAAATTTGCATTTCGACCAGAACATATCCCAATGACATGACATGCATACAGCTTTTTTGCAAGCTGCACACACCATATTCCCACGCCTCCACTTGCACCCGACACAATCACACGCCGCTTCTCATTCGGACTCTGTGACTCGGTAGGAAGCCAATCCAAACACGCAAATGCCGTCAACACAACAAGTGGTATCGCAGCTGCTTCCTGATAGCTCAACGTCTTTGGTTTCTTCGCAATCGGCTCCCCCGGCGCAATGCTCAGATACTGCGTGAACGTCCCTTCTGCTGTTGCTCGATTACATAGCCCATATACTTCGTCACCGACATTCCATTTGCCGCTCTTCTGCAGTTCGTCGCCGATGGCTACAACTTCACCGGAGTAGTCGCGTCCAATGCCCTTTTCTTTCTTGCCTGCAAGCCAGCCTATTACTGGATTGCCCCATAGCTGGATGTCGACTGGGTTGATGGCTGCAGCGTGGACTTTGACGAGAAGATCATTAGGCCCAGGTTTTGGGAGTGGAGTATGCGTAATGTGAGGTGGCGTTGATGGTTGTGTATAGGTCAACGAGGTGTTGTTATCTGGTAAAGTAGTCGAAGTCATGTTTGTTGGGTTTTGTCGTAGTGCGTAGTGGTTGACTCATGTACATTGAAAATCTGGTATTCGTGGTCGAGATGCATTTGTACTGCCGATGCACAATCCGTGACAGCTTGCTGCGACACATGGCGTGAACTTGAGTTGAGATCGCCATGACGTCGAAAGTGGATGCTGGGCGCAAATCTGGCGCTGTGCAAGGTGGGGTTCGTAAGAAGGACCGAGGGTAGAAACAACCCTGTCGTGAGATCCTTCGTAATGGCGCGCTATCTGTATAGCCTCAACATCCTCGGCTCTAACCTGCCCACTCGATGACCTCCCAAACATGTTATAGAGTGTCGTGTACATCACCTTCGAATATTGATTGCATTTTGGCGTAATGTGTCAACCTTTACGATAATGGTCTTTATGCAGCATTCTCTATTTCATATTCTAATTGACAATGGTATCTCATGGGAGACGATTGCTAGATGTACACTTTCGATGATCGTAACACGGGATGCTATACTTACAGCTTTACTACACTATTATCCTTATGCACTCTCCGTATCTGATGACAAAAAAGGATTGGAATAAACAGGCAGGCAATGAGCCCTAGCATGATGTATCCAGCCATAACCCAGCTGCGCACACATCTTTTGGCCGCTCATTGAACTGAACGCTGCACACAGTCGGACTCTTTTCGGTAGGAAGGGGTCAAATTGTTCCGCCGTGATCTGATTAGCGAACGTACTATGTCAGAGTTGGCGCCGAGCATGCAGTAGAGCATTGTTCGGGAGAAGGCGAGGAACTGTCTGTGCCCAAATTGTAGCATGCGATCTTTGACTATGATCTACTTCTCCGATGGGCGTACGTCGGTCGCGAAGCTGACCCTGATAGGCTGAGTCGGCGTGCTCGTTGTGTTGCATGAGGTGTCTTAGGGCCTGCTCGGTACGCATCAATCTCCATAGTAGGCTCAAAAGAGATTAGGGCCGGCTTCGACACAGCGCTATCGTCAAAAGGGAGTCGGTCCAGTCTCCATTTCAAACCTCTAGATCGTAGCTGTTTTCTGCCTAGCTTCTCCTATCTGAAAGCTAAGTACTAAACGGGCCCTTAGGTGTGATATCTTGCGAATTGAAGGCCGGCATCAGGATGCGGGTCAGCTTGGTACGTTTTTTATGCTGTATATTAATTATCTAACTTCTCAAGTCTCCAATCACAACGACAAGTTGGCCGAGTGGTTATGGCGTGTGACTCAAGCGCAAGCTTACCAGTGAATTCTGGCGCATTCTCATGGGCTTTGCCCGCGGGGGTTCGAATCCCCCACTTGTCAATATTCTTTTTTGCTTTTTTGCCAGCATCTTTTTGCCCTCTTTTTTGCTTTTCTATCTTCTGCTTCTTCAATCGTCTTTTGTACGCTTCTTGGCCTTGTTCAACACTATCTCTTCTTTGGCGTCCTTCAACCTGTATTGACTGTGTTGGCTACAACATCTACCAGACCAAGCAGTGCTTTCGTATGTTTACGTCAGCGGGCAAGGAGGAGAGGGAGCATTGCCTGGATCTACACAACATCTCCTGCACGAAGTTTCGGTGTCTTCGCATGGCCGGTGCAAACATTTTCAACCCAATCGACGCAATTCAAAGTTGCCAATTTGATCAAATTGCGTGGAGAGCTCACTATCGGCAGCCACCTTCCCCAACCGTATAGAGCCCACTGCCCACTGATCCCACTTTTCCGCGATTTCCCATCGGCACTTCTCCCTGCAAAAACGTGACATACTACAATTGTAGATCGCAACATCTTTGAGTCAATAATACTTTACATTATAAAACAAGAATTACCCACTGTGAGTCAAAGACCTTGCGTAAAAGGGCAGCGCTCACCACCTCGTACTATACATGCCCACTACCTCCACCAAACCTTGTGTCCTGGTCGCTCGTGCGATATCGACAGTGCATATATTGGTGTGGATTGAGCACCGAGACCGAGGAAGAATTTTTCCAACCCCAATCCTGCTGCGCAAACATAAATGTCGAATAATTATATAGCGTGCCCGCAGACCTGACTCGTAGGCTTGTTTTATTACACAGCGTCGTTCGCTTTACCCTCGTCGCTCACAAGACCGTCTATTCATCAAACCGATGCTGGCGAAGTTTATTCTGACATCGATGTTATGCAGGTTGTGATTCATGATTTGTTTGCGAGACGTTTTCAGACCGTTTCTCGCTTCCACTTGGCGATGTTCCCATCTCAAATCATGACTCCATGTCTGTAGCAAGGCTGCGGCAACGGATCGGAAATACCGTAATTCCCGTAAAAGTCCACACTGCTCTGCCGTCGATACCCCATTGCCTCACCCAAATCCTGGCTAACAAAAATCTCCATACCACCACTCTGTTCCGTGCCCTTGTTTTCGCTCGATAATTTGTACCCGACTCCAGCTGAAGGATTGGGTGAAATGTCAGAAGGTTGGCTCTTTCTCAAAATCTGAAGCCACCGCTCCTCGGCATAGCGTTTGAATACGTCTTCGAGGTCAAACAAATCCTGCATTGCCAGACTGTACATTTTGCCCGAGCGTAATTTCCAGAAAAAGAGAACAGAGAGCTCAATCGTCTCGACCGCCTCGAGCGGGGTGATGATCTTATCCATGGCTTCTAGGAGGTTCTCTGTCATCCGAATTTGATCCAGTAGCCTCACTTCTTTCATAGTATTATTTGTGATTGTATAATTCCACTCGACGTAGAATCGAATATGTGTTACGTGCTTCAGCATCGGCAGCTGCAGAATGTGTGGCGAGAACTCAAAAAGTCCATTGTTGAAACTCATATTCCGCAGTTCGGCGTGGAGAGTCAACTTGCTACGCCGGAAGTAGTTCTGCAACAGCTCCTCTCGTATTTGCTTGTTGATGAGTAGCAGCTTTGGATGGAGACGGGACTCCTTTGCGACTAGAGTGCCATAGCCAAAGATGTCGTGTCTCCATGGCTCTCCATTGACCATGTCCGCACCCCACAAGCAGGTATGCAGTTCGGGTCGAGGTTCCGATACTACTGGCAAGACATGGTTGAAGACTTGATCTCGAATCTCGCTAGGGAGAGCCAATAGTCGTGAGCTGAAAGTGCTCGGGGTAAGCTCGAGCAAGACCTCGAGTTCTCTGAATAGCTGACTTTGGCGGTGTGCGTACAGATCGTCCAGACTGCCGTTGGATGCAATGGACAAATTTTTGGCTCCTGATCTTCGTTGAACCATGGCCATGGTGCGAGCTCGGTAATCCAGAATCAGGATGGTGTAGGCTATTCCGCGGTAAAGGTCTCGCTGCGTGAGTAAAGACCGGAATAATGCAAGGACAGGCTAATCAGCAGACGAAGCGCGGGAACGATGCATCGATGGAAAGTGGTGGCCAGCAAGGGCTTCCTCTTGTTGAAGAAGAAATGTTCGACATGGCAGATGATAGACGGTGTGCCGAGTCATGTCTCAGCGTTGCCCGCTTCGCGGCAGGGGGTGGTACGCAAGGCTGGATCAGGAAGAAGTGGGGAATGACCGTCACGTGAAGAGGGGCCAGAGCCATCGAGCGGCCCCTGTTCTCACTCCGTTGCAGTTTCAGAGCTTGGCGCTGGAACACCTTCACCTCTGTTTTCTTGATGCATCAACGTGTTCAAAACACTTCTGGATCACTACACCGCGGCAGTTGCCTGAGAAATGCAAAGGCCACGACTAGGCAATTGAAGGAGCCGCTTTCGCTCTCGGTCTAGCAGCTCATACTGACACTTGACTTACACCACCAGAGACTTGTTATTGCACTACTCGCAACTGTATATTTTCGAAGAGCCGAGATTTAACAATCCTGTGTGTTCAGAGACGAAGTAATACATCGCTATCTCTCACGTTGTTGCTCCCGTCCCGAACCGACGTATTGTCTACTACCAAGCCGACAACACATACGGACACGCTGATCGTCATTATGATAACACAGCCTGGTGGGCTTCAATCACCTTCCGCCCATTACTTAACCACAATAGAGTGCCTCGAAGCCCACCACGCCAACGCAAGCATACGAAGTCATCATCGTCGTCGCAACGTATCCTGATGTTCTTCAGCTTCTTTATTTTTTTTTACCAAGCTGAACCACGCACTACCTCGAATCCCGCTCACCTCAACTTTCGCCAGCCCTCGCGAGCAGCTTTATCACCATTTGCGTTGAGGCGGCGCATCTCCTTTTGCTCGGGCGACTCTGCCGCAAGTCTTCTTGTCCTCCCCTTCACCTGGACGTCCTTGGTGCGCCACTGATCTATCAGCATTGCGCATTCAATTCAACAGCACCGTGTGTGAAGGAGCCAGTTTTTACTGATGCACCGCACATGCCATCTACAATCTCACAACCCTATCACAAGGCCTACAAAATTATCTATGAGAAAAGTAAAAGTTTTAATGGATGGCTCTTGTTGCACCTCATACGTGTTTCATCGGAGTTTCATGTTGATATAATGTGCTGTAGTACACTTAGTAGGTGGGTAAGATTGTAGCCTTCAAAATCATGTAATATAGAGGATGCTATTGACGGCAGCGCAATAACGCGGTCGGAGTTGCACATAATGTCTCGTCTCATCGCATCCACATCCTCACCAGCCCTTATTATCTATTCCACGTCAAAACACTGGCAATCAGAAATATCGCCACCCAGCCTCCAACCGCTCGTCGAGGAAGGACATTTCCACGCAATATCCATTTCAGCACATTGGAAGACCATACTCCACATCCTCTCCAGCGTATATCCAAAATCCGGGGCAGCCATCGAATCAGGCCTGCCTTGGAGGAACTCTGGCTGATGTGCCCAACTGTTTTTATCCACCAGCGTCTGTCTAAGGTCATGGTAAAACTCCTTGCCCAGACCACGTGTACGCGCTGCTGAAGCAATGAAGGAGCCCTTGTAACTCAGCAGTACGTCTTCACATGTCAAGTTGTAGATCTCGGCGTAATACTTGGGTATGAGCTTTGCGTGGTCCCACCACCAGAATTCGTCACCGCACTGCTCGCAGCTGCACGGTTCAAAGAAGCCGAGATGCAAGAAGCCTGTACGTTCGGGGACAAAGTAATTCCTCAGCCGCTTATAGAAGTTCTTGGAAAAGCCAACGTCAGCCTGAAGATACATGGTGTGCTTTGCAAGGCTATCCCATCGATTGGTGATGTGGTACAGATATGTTTCGCCTTCTCTGCCGACGTTTTGTAGCTTGATGACAGAGTCCGCTCCAGTTATTAACTTGATATGTACTGCGTCTGCTTCCTCGTCTTTCGTGTATATTGTCACTGAAGCTTTCCGCGTTTCATGCGCACTTTTGAGGCTGGCTAAGAGATCTTTCACGTCCTCGATCGGCTCCTTGTACATACTGAGAACAATTTCCAGTTGTGATGGTGGCTCGTAAGATTGGTCAATACGGGCAGGCAGACGCTCGGGTTCTGGCGCGGAGAGATTGAAAGCAACAGATCCGGCCCAGAGCAATGATACCACGACAACTCCCCAAAATGACCAGGTATGCTTCTCGGAATTCTTTGATTCCAAGCCTTGTTGCTGTGCTTGCCTGTCGTTTCCCTGTACAGGATCTGCTTCTGCATCTTCTAGTGATGTCGACGACACACTGCCTACAAGTTCATACGCAGTGGTTTCACTGTAAGGTTGATGGATCTGGCCATAATCAATAGCGCGCCTAGGTCCTAGACTAGCACAAATAAGTGCTACTGCGAAGCAGCAATACTGAAGCCAGCTCGTATAAGATCGTCGTATTGAGAAAGCTGTCGAGCAATTGGCGATTCCCGACACGACCATGAGGACGATACTGTCGTGGTAGCATCGAGCTGCTTCAACCTCGACCTCAAGGCGATCCTCATCAAGGGGAAGTATCATGGACCGTCCAAGAAGCAGAGCCGCTGTAGTTGCAACAAGGTTGACGAGCATTACTGCTGGCGGAGCGTATTTGAGATCAACGAAGACATGAGGATCCTTCTGCGTGGAGCATATCCAAATGATGGCGATGACACCACCAGCACCAAGAAACCAGCCTGTCTCCTCTCGTCGCTTCGGAAAGCTTTCTGGATCATGTTGCAAAGCAAGTCGCCTGAGTGCTTTGGCGGCACCGGCAGATAGCATTGTCCACAGAGAACTTTTCAGAAAGGTGACCTTTAAGCGATATTCTACAAGAAGAATGACAACACAGGCCAGTGTGAGCAAAGCAATGCGGCTGATCTGAAGACAGAGGCGAATACCATCGCCTTGAGAGTAGTGAACAAGATCCACGGCAAGTCTTAAAAACTCGTGCGGCAGAAATATGATAGGCTAGGCACAAGACGTTAGCGATTCCATACCTGGACTTTAGACATAGACGAACTCACAGTGAGCATAACAAGCGTAGTCATATTCTTGTTATGCAACAGAGCTTGTAGCATACAAACCATTGTGAAGGCTGCAAAAAAAATTCCAGCAATGGCCAGCACTGATCCTGGCTTGGCTCGACTCTTCCATGACTTTTTTGGTGTATCGTTTGGGATCAGAGTATATTGAAGGCCCGCAAATATCACTGTGACAACAAGCTGGGCGATGTATAGCACGACGGGATAGTGGAAATTTGCTTCCACGAGAAGATACCTCGCACTGAGCAGAGCATTGACAGCCGAGATCATCCAAATGTAGCGAGAGAGTTGTGGTGTATGTCGCTGTGTAGTGGTATGGAGACCATGACGCTGAGTTCTGACCCCTTTGGGCTGCATAACCGTTGCTAAAGTTGAGTTGTTGGTTACGGAATTTGTATGATGGATGACATGGGACGGATCCAGGCAGCAGGTTCAGGGGGGAACTTGCTACAGTGGGGCCATAGCATGTATTGCACAAGCTCTATCAAGTGAGGGAGCTGCCTGACCGCTGAGAACGCGTAGTGTTTATGTTAGGCTAATCTTCTTTGAACAATACTGAGTGAGAGGCTTGCCGCTTGGTTTTACCCCGACCGGCGTAAACAGTGAACGCTTAAAACAGACCCCTGCATATACATGGGGCTGTGCAGCAATCGCCAATTCATAAGGCCCCCCGCCCCACAGCCATTGCATATCTCGAGCCTTCTGCTAATAAGCCAAAGAATCGGAACACGTTGCTGAGTGAGGCGTCTGAAGCAGAGGGCGTCTTTCGGCAGTGTAAACTACAACACAAGTAGGTTTCCGTTTCAGTATGCTCGAGCCTTATTGTGTATAACATCTTGCGCGATCAAAGAGGAGAGAAATGCCACGCACATGCATAATTGTTGCCTGACATGTAGATCTGCACAGACATCAGTGAGTAGAGTAAAAGTCAAGGTATACGTGTACTTGCACGCGCTGGATGTGACTAGATCACAAGAAGACAAGCTGTGCTCAAGGCTCAGTTTGAAGACGTACGTGCATTGTGAATATGTGTTAAAGTACAGTCCTGCACGTGTACAGGCGTCAAAGTGGTTGAGATTTTACGCTGCGTTTGAAGCACGTTGGGTGTGACCGGGAACAAGCACGGTTTAAAGCGAATCAGCTTTGTATGGAGTTCCCGAAAAAACAAGGTTTCTGGACTGCTAGATGGCGGCCAAAGCAATTATGTCGATCAAGCACCGATATGGATGCCTACAGCGCCAGTTTGCCACCGAAAGTCCGAAATCCCATACGCCTTCCATGCTCGGTATGATGTTGACGGCAGACAAAACAAGGCTCGCGCATACAGCTAATGACTGCTTCTGCGCGACTGCATACAGCACGACAAAATATGCTCAGTGCGCCTATACCTCGAGGCCTCCGACCATGTAGAACAGCAGATAGGCTTCAGCGGCTAGCACTTCGGCTTCACTGGCTAACACGACTTTGCTATCATCGAACATGAACCAGTCATTCCCTTCGCGGGAGTAACTGACATAGTGCCCAGAGTCAATCTTGCCTTTGTGGACTATGACTGAAGACAACTCGTATACGAGACTATTCACTGGGGTATTCGTGTTGTGATTGGTCGGTGGTGCACCCGATGCCTTCATGGACTTCTTCAGGACTTGTTGGTATGATGTGGTGTATGGATTGATATCCAGCTTGGTGGGAAATCTCACTCGGGTCTCGATTTTTGAAGATGTGGCTTTTGTATGCTCAAAGCGCTGTCATTGTCAATTATTGAGTTGCGTTTGATGGGCGAGACTCGTACCTTGAGGTGTACCGCAAGTACTGGTGGAACTCGCTTGATGCTCAATTGCTTTGTCGCATTCTGAGGCTTGTCGCAGTTCCGACATGTATACTCAGCTGAGCCAAGCTTCTCCTTGGCTGTGAATCTCTCCAAACAATCTCGCAAGTCTAAGGGTACTTCGTCCCCTTTGTCGTTGTTCACTTTTCGCTTTTTATGATTCCGTATGTCGAGGCTCAAATCCATGTACGGATCCTGCGCGGTTGTAACATTACGACAGCTGTCGCAGGTGACTGTGCTTGAGAGCTTGCCATAGAACGTCTGGTGGACAACGCATTTGCAGTCATCGGTATCAGAGTCGGTAGAGCCGCCGTTTGCAAGGTGGAGGGTGTTGAGAATGAATTGCATGTATTCATGCGCGTCTTGTTGTTGGTAGCCTGCGAGAGCCTGTGCATGTCAGCACGTATCACACGGTTGTCTCCAATGCTCCCACTAACCTCACCGGCCAGCCAGCTGCCCATGAGCATGCTGACGGCACCAAACCCCTCGTTCTTATCCGAAGAGTAAAACTCTACAAACATTTCATCGAGCGCGCAGCTGACGCAAGACTCCTTCTCGCAGTCCGCCTGTCTGTGGCCTTCTGACAGATAAAAGTTTCGTATGAAGGGATTGTGTATCAGGCTTTGTAATATGACGCTCATGAAGCACGTCTGCCCCATGTTGTAAAGACCTCGTAGACCGATCGCGCGACAGGGAAGGAAGGTGGAGTTGTTGACGATGAGTCTCACATCGTCGGCAGTCGATGTGTCTTCGAGCCTTCGCTTCTTGCCTACAGGAAAGCACGTTAGCCGGGGCCTTGATGCCTCATGTGACCATACACCAACCTTTCTGCAATCGCCTGATCTCCAGCTCAGGGTCATATATGAAGTCCTGGCAATTACCGCAGTATACGTTGCCCTCTCGTGATTCAACCGCTGCGCACCCATTAGGTCCTCTTCTGTCTATCAAGTATACAAAACTACCCACAGAAGCAGTGTGACTTGGTTTCGAAGTGCTGGTCGCGGTCGGTTTCGGTCATGATGTTCGGGCATTGCAGGCAGAGGTAGAGCGGCCGCAGTGCCACTACCGAGCGGTTCTCTGCCGCAGAACTGTGCGTTTGCGCTATTATGCTCGGTTTCTCGTGTATATTGCGGAGGATGGACTGGTAGGAGCTGAGGGTGAGCTTGCGCGCATTCTCGAACATTTCGCCCATGTGCTCTGTCGCGAGGTCAGATGGAGCTTCTGATAATGTTCACGAGGCGTACCACAGCCGTAGGCAATGTGCGCCATCTGGCTGCTGGGCACTATATTGCCTTTGGCATTCTTGACGACCTTGGGCGACGCCAGCGACGCCCCCTTAGGTGCAACTGCGATTGAATCCATGGTGTTGCATGTATAGGCCTAGACTTGTTACATGGCGCGAAAGAACGCGTAGCCAGTTCCTCGGAATGGAAAGAACCAGCTTGCGAATGAGTTCTAAAGGACCGTCAGACAAGGTCGCGCGGCGCAATGGTGCTAGTCGATGTGCATGAAACTAGTGGTGGTGTTGCATGGGGCTGTTGGTGGTGCGTCTGCCCCACGGTCAAGACCATGCCAAGCAAAATTTATCTTAGCTGAGCTATGAAGGCCACTGTGCGTGATGTACATGACTAGATGCTTTGTGCGCAGCAAATCCAAGAAACATCACATTATATATTATGTTAATTTCAAATTTTCAAGAAAAGCAAGGGCGCTTTGGCGGAGTGGTTAACGCGTCAGCCTCGAACGGTTCGATAGAACTCAATAGCAAGCTGATTCCTTCGGGAGCGTGTGTTCGAATCACACAGGCGTCGCATGTTATCTTTTTGCTGTTTGAACTTCCTGTGGACGGTCAGTCAGTTAGTCTTGCGCTTCAAGTATGTGCAGCTTGACTATTTTTGGAGAGATTGAATTCCGTGTCTAATCAGTCAGCTGATTGGACTTTTGGTCGGTAGCTGGGCAAACCATTCAGATCCTAAGAAACACTGCCAAATATGCATTCATCCTACTCATATATACAAGTTCCACTACTCCTACGTCCCATCACTCCGCATCGTCCGGTGCAACAGGCGCCGTGTCATCAACCTGAATCCCACCCCTCTTCTTCTCCCTACTATCATGGAATGGCAACTTCCATCCGCCCTCATCCTCAGGTGTGCTCAGCCACAGTCTCATGAGATGTCTCCTCGGAGCTGGCGGTGGGTAGTCCTTGTACTCTGTCCTGGCATGGAAAACATGGTTGTTTGACAAGAACTGTATGTCGCCAATGTCAAGGATCATGTGAAGTGCGAGCTTGACACATGTATCTTCGAGGATTTGAGCTGCGCGTAGCTGCTCGGGTGAGAGGGCTGGGATGAGGCCGGTTGATGAGAAGCGGGTGAGGGACTTGACATAATAGGGGTCCCACCTACGATGTAGTCAGCATTTGCCTGGATGTGAAAGCATGATTGATTGAGCACTCACTTTGAATAGACTCTCGGCTTTGGTCCGGTCTCGAGATAGAACACGCTGGTCTTGATCCACTCCCGCTCACCCTTGCTCGTCTCGCCTTTGCGGTCGAAGTACCAGATTGGCTGCGTGAGCAGCTCAGCAACGTCTGGGTTATTCTTTTGTAGGTCGTTCCACACAGAGTGACTGCTGACCTTGTTGTTCCATTAACATCCAGAATGGGATCAATCACGAAGTCGTTCTGCTTACAAGATCACTCTCTCCACCCTCCAGCGCTTTAGCCACACACAACAAACCCACGAGGTCTGCATCATCGGCATGGAAGAACTGCCTCGCATTCGTGCGATAGATGCGCACTTTATCAATCTGGGCAGAGTCCTCGCCGAGATCCTTGACGTGTCCAAGTACGTGGCCACGTGAGTTTTGCGAAACGAAGTACCCGAGATAAGTTCCAAGGCCCATGTAAGCAACGGCACTCTTTTGGTTGCCCCATTCGGTTACTGGTAGGCCCTTGAATAGAATAAAACCTTTCCCGTCAATCAATTCTTTCCGTAGTGGTTCGAGGAAATGGCTGAATTGTGGAAGCTGGAACTTTGTTTTCGTAATACCAGTCAAGGGAGTTCCACTTGAGATGAATGTGTCGGCTGCATCTGAGATCTCCTTGACTTCTTCCTCTGAAAAGTAGTGGGTCCAATGCTCTGCGTTGTTCTTGTAGTCATCTCTGTTCCATGCAGTGGACTAACACTTGTCAGTGTTGTCATGTGGTGAAGAGGTTTCGAGACGTACACCTGCAATTTCTTTGGGAAAGTCTGAGTAAGGTCGGAGTTGTTCGTAGAGTGGATCATGTTGGCCCGATGTCTTGATGCCGTCTGGGAAGATGTTCTTCGGGGCATTATTGTTGGCAAGCTTCGTTGTAAGCTCGTGGGGTGCTGTAGGCGCAACTGAGGTCAAGGCAGGAGCCATGATGATAAAGATTTGTATTTTTGGACACGTCTAGAGTAGCAGAACGAAGAATCTCTGGCTATTCAAAGATCTTATCAGAGGGTGTTTCAGATCAATGCAGCTGTTCTTATGGTCTGTAGAACATAGGAGTGAAAAGCAAGTACACAAAGCCTTCACGAAAACCTTATATATCATATACCCCTCCCTACCTTCCAAGCATCCATCCCCTCATATGGTATCATCGTTACTCCATACTGGGTGTTGTGATATTTAGCCTGGATTGCGTGATTGCTCCTCCCCATGGTTGAGGTTGCCGAAAGGGGCCAGCCCCACCTTTGGCTGCTGATACGCGGCCCTGCATTGGCTGACTGACTTCAGCAGATCTTTAGCTGATCGTTCACTGCTCCTCGGTTATTGCGACATATGTTGTGATAAGATAAACGCAGTAATATGTAGATAGGCATGCTATGGAGGCTGAAGCGTGAATGTATCCATAGTGAATTGATACAACACACATGTACATCGTGCGCCGTTGACGCCATTGAAAATGCTAAGATCACAAACGCCGTGAACGCCAGATAGAACCACACTTTATGACTGCGGAATATTCCGCTACCATTCCGCCTCATCCTTTACTTCATCCTCCTGCTAGATGCCTTCCAGGCACTCCTGCACAACTGCCTCCAGCATCCTAAGCCCATAGAACCCAGCGACGTTATTATATGTGTTCAACTTCTTCTTCACATCTCCCCTATTCTTGGTCCCCAGCCACTCTCCCGCACAAGCGCAGTGCTCCATGAATTCGTTGCTCCTCAGTCTTTTGCATTTGCTGCACTTCAAGTCCTGCGTGCACCACTCCAGCACGACTTTCTGAACTTCAGAAACGAGTTGTTCTTCGATGCGCAGCTTGTCATACGTTGATTCGCAGTTGTCGCACTTCCATTTTGGCGGTGGAGGTGCCGTCTCAGAATCCTTCGGCATGGCAGGTGGAAGTAGCGAAGCATCGCGACATAAGTCGAGATCGCGAGAAGCAGTGCATTCATCGCAGATGACGCCTCGAACAGTTAGTGCAGCGCTGGGATTCGCAAATGTTGCTTCAGCGCTGAATTCGCGAATCTCAAAGAGGTTGAGCAGTTCCTTGCGGAGCATGCGAGCTTCTAGCGAAATTGCGCGGTCCAAACTGAGGACCTGCATGATTGACTTGACAAGCTGGAGGACCGGATTCTGGAGTTTGAGATGCGAGCCAGGGAGTTGTGGGAATTCGTAGTCTGAGGCGAGCTCAGGATGCAACATTTCTGTATGTTGACGACGCAACAGCGCCGATATTTGTTTGAAAAGCGGTTTTGTAAATGTCTTCGGGAGTATCTGAGTCTCCTCATTTGGATCCACTGTGAGCGGTCGTAAGGGTATCTGAGTGGGTCGCGGCGCAGAGCCATCGGTAACGACCGGTCGTTTGCGCGCATGCATGAGCTCTATGAACTCAATGATCCAGTCGTTGAAAGCCGGCTGAAGTGTCGGTGGCAGAAATTGTGCAAGCTGCCAGCACATAATGTTCTCGATGACTTGGTTCTCTTCTTCTACGACCTCCTTACATCCTTTGCCGCCGTAATTGAACTCATCGTACCACACGAGGTAGTCCCAGTACTCCTTGATGTCGAGTTCCATGAATTGAAACAATGGCTTCGACTTGATCGTCTTGATAATGTACTGACTGTACGCATAAGCATTGCCAACCTCGGCTTTGGTTGTCTGTAGCAATAGTCGATTCGGGCTGGCGAACACAATGTGCGAGCCGACACGCTTGAAGTCTGTCATCAGTTGCTGTAATGTCTTCTTTGACATCATCTCCACGTAGTAGTGTAGAGACCTGTCGTAGAGAAAGGAGCCTGGACTGCTAACCCAGCGGACGAGATGCTGAACCATGACATCGGCCATACTAAAGCCAGAGTCTGTCTTCAAGGCCTCAATCCACCAGGCTTTGACCATTTCGCGAAGGACCATAATACCTGCGCTGGCAAATGCGTTATCAGAGTATATGACATTCGTGCCGTCATTGACAGAATCATATGAGGGCGCAGAAGGATTGAAAGAGACGGAGTCCGCGCCTTCGAGCTCGTTGATTAGAGAGGATGACAAAATAGTGTTGATGGCGAGATTTCGCAAGCCTATGTCGATGCAGACTGAGGAGTACGTCCCTGGATTGTTGATAGAAGGCATCTCAACCGTTTCCAGAGGTCCCAGTATGTCGTCTTTCTCGTATCCTGCATGGTCTGGCTTCGCTTGCCCAGACCACCAGAGAATGACACGTTCCTTCTGCAAACGACGTGCATAGGCAACGTCAATTAGGAAGCGCGGATCATTGCTTTCAAGGTTGCAAAGAGGGATGTCACCATATCTCGAGAGCTCAAGAAGATGTGCAACCCATGAACCTAGATCCAGGTAGTGGCCGACAAGGCGTTTGGTGATGAACGACTGCCAGCCAAGTGGCGGAAGTTGCTTGTCAGTCTCATCGGGATGCAACGAGAGAATGGGCAGATCCTTCAGGACTGGAATGTCATGTGAAAGTAAGGCCGAATTCGGTGACTGCATCACGACGATGACAGGCTTGCCCTCGTCTGTTTTCATCTTCTTGATCGCATCACCCAACTCGAGGAGTGCTTTGCGCCTGGTGGTGACCATGGTCGTCTTGAAATGTATGTCTTCTTGGTAGTCGATCATTGTCTGCCATGGCTCGCCTTGGTTGTCTTCTAGGCGTCTGCGCGCAGCGTCGGCGTAAACCCGATCGACGTTCGGCATGCCTTGTGAGTCCTTGGACTTGTTCTGGATAATGATCTGTGCGTCATTCTTGGAGGTCGAAAAAACTGCATAGACGTGGCGGTCTCCACTACTGACATGGTAAACGTAGAGGTAGCTCATTACCGCATCGGCTAGATAGGTTTTCTGTGACGGCACTCTGCGAAGAGCGGACAAATCAAAGCCTTGTTCTAAGCCCTTGCCTAGCACACCCTTCTGAGATTCATCGAAGGTACAGCTGCTGCCGAGTTCGAGGATGGCGCGAATGTTGAGTGGAATTTGCGTTTCGTACACGCCCTCAACGCTTGGATGATTAAACAAGGTCGAGATGTTGTCGGCTTCGTGGACGAACGTCTGCTCAGACATTCTCAGCTTGAAGAGATGAATTGACGGGTGTCCATTCGGGAGAGTATGGTTGACGACCTTTTCAACAGAGCACCCACTGATGGAGACGTCAGGAAGATCTTCACTCCGCAAATTGAGATATAACTGCCGTGGCACGATGACTTTCAGCGTGTGGATCTTTTTGTCGATGAGCACAAAAGCCTTCACTTCTCCTGGCGTATCCGTTGGCCGTAACTGAACAAGTTGCCAAGTGCTGATGAAAAGGGACTCCGCTTGGTTCCGGAAG